GACGCGTTAAGCCGATAGTTTGTTACGATTACCAGCGAGTTCATTGATTTATTTCGATCGCGCGTGGATGGTAATGAACTCGATGTTCGCGATGTCGATTCAATGATAATTATTATAACAATTTGTTTAACGTTAATCATAGTTTTATATAATTGCTAAGGTCTTGGTAGACAGAGTCAACATTTTATGGCTAATCTTGGGTCAACGAAGAAGTTTACCATTTCTATCATGGCTTTAGAGCCTAAAAAAGTCTTGTAAAATATTTTATATCACACGATTGATTTGTAATGAAAAATAATAATTTTCTGTACTTTATAGTTAAATAAGTTAGTTTCGTTAAGGGATTAAACAAGTTTTGAATTTTAACAGTGCCTTTAGTGTCCTCGATAATTAAAATGAAATAGATGTTATTGAGGAAAAAATATACTCCGTGAAATTAACTTCGGTGTTTAGGATATTAAAAAAAATGTGCTTCTGAGATAAACTTTAGGAGTCCTCTTTTGAAAACAAGGCGATAAATGTTCTCAGGAAGTTACGAATTTTTTGATAATTAGTATTATATCGCTAAAAAGTTATAAAATACATAATAATAACGGATTTCGCTAATGAATCTTTTAGCATCGACAATTTCAATGAGTCAAGAGTTCAAAGTCTAGTATTATCTATTATTTTAATTAATGAAAAGTTAACAAGTATAAATACAGAGTTGACTGAATATTTTATTTAAAGACGTGACTTCGAATAAGAAGCATCATGAAGTGCTTAGCGATTTTGTAAGTACACTATTTTCATTCGATTTTGTATTTTTTTCTTTTTTTTTAGAATAAAATTAAATGTTCTGTCCAATAGCCTCATTTTTGGTGCCTGTGTACTTGTGGCCTCTGCCGCACCAAAAAAAGATAAATTAAGAGCTTTTGAAAAACTTGTCCACGATAACGCCGAATATTTTGAACTGAGCGATGAAGAACAAGCTGCATTTATCAAAAATGCATACAATGAGACAAATTCAATAATAGCATATGGATTGAACGGATTATTAAAACTACGAGAAGAATTGGATGAAATGTACGGAGAGGATGATTCTACTCAGCCGATTCTTTTCTACAACTACGAAACTGACGAATTCGAATACGTTGAACCAGAAGCAATGAGTAAAACGAAAAAGAAGGTGAACCAGGAAAACATGAAGTTTCTTTTCTCTTTGTACAGAAGAAATCTGCTTCGTTACATTGAAGACCCACTTATGAATGGCTTCACTCAAATGGTTTTGTATTATTTCAACGAGCCTAGAATGACAAGATCAATGAAATTTTGGAACTATTTAGAAATTATGCAAGCCCATCTTATGAAAACCAGTGGAAAATACGTCTCTTCATTCGATATGGAAATTGAAATGTAAATCTTTAATCAATGAATAAAACTTGGCAATGTGAGTAAACATATCGTTATAAAAATCTATGCTTGATAACCTGTCGTTTGAGTCATATCATTATTTAATTTCGTATTGAAATTTCAAATGGCAATTGCATTTAGCGGTATCATTAACCAAAATGGTCAAGTACTTTCCTCATTAATATTAAGTTCAACTAACGAAACCCAAAATTTGAGTTACAGCGGACCCGTTAAAAATGTTGTAGAAAATACTGTGTCGTTACCGATACGCGATACGATCCTGCCTGGAAGAACAACGACAACAACAAAAATCCGAAAAACGTTTATCATTATCAAGACCATACCGAATTGTATACTAGCCCAGTTCATAATGCCTCCCGGTGCAATCGAACCAGGAAGCAAAATTATACGGCTACCGTCCTCGCGCTCGAGCGCGCGCATATAATAATCTTCCGGTGGTCGTCATGCATGTGTCTATGTGTGTGTGTGTGTGTATGTGTGTGTGTGTGCAATATCTTTTCATACACCATACGCTGAACTTTTCTTATTTACTCGGCTTCTGAGTGTTTATGTGTGTACTTTGATTTCGCTGCTTTCTTCGGGTGGGTGGTATAGATAGATGTAGGTAAGTGCATCCAGCATCGGCGAGCTCCATCGCGATACATAATAACGGTATGCGCCGCCGCGCGGGAGCTATATAGCGGAATTATGAATTTGTACGATACAAGCTGATTCCATTCGATGAGATGCGCTTTTCCATCGCGCGTACGTAATGGATCATCCCACACGTAGCTTCGAGACATTGTATAGATTCGCAAGTGCACTGCGCGTTTATTTGTCATTAGAACGTTGAACTTTTTTTCCGCGGCCGTTTAAGTATACCTCGCACGAACGAACGAACGAACGAAGGAACTCGCTCGACTCTAGGTAAATCATGAATATTCAAGCGCAGGCGATTTCGATCTAATCGTATTTAAAACGTACCTAAGCGAGCTCGCGAGTCGACTTTTATTCAATGCTCGCGATTTTCAGCTAATGAAACGCGGCGCGTTGCGATTCTGGTCTCGCGCGACACGACATGCGACACTCGTGCGCGGAATATCATAATCGCGAAACAATCGAAGCCTCGTGTCGAATGCAGCTACGCCAACGGGTTCATGTATACTACTTGCGTGAGAAACGCTCGCTCGACGACGACTTTTTCATTGTTGTTCTCGGCTCTTTCCGTTCGCGCCGGCGATACGTTTTCAATATAAAAGAAACAGTATATTATGCTATATAGATCGATGTATTACGAGAAAACTTCCGAGTTATTTATTTGCAAATTATAACTCAGTTTCGTATAAGAAAAGCCGAAAAATGCCGTTAACTCGACCATCGCGAGTGCATTGGCTTATTGCTCCACAAATAGCGCGCGCGCGCGAAAAGCTCGCGTAATACTCCAGTAGCCCCTTAAACTCGCCGCATATCCCCATTGTATTCATTTATTATAGTCAACACATGTGCGTAAAGCGCAAGATGAAAAAGTGAATCGCGCGCGTTTTGTTTTTACAGTTAAGATCCTCGGCTATATCAGGCCTAAACTAAGCCATTGTGTCGCTCTTTTGCCGCACACGTGATAACCCACAAAACGCGTGGCATAACTCGGGCTAGTGTATATAATAATATAATATATACGTATTTATGTATAAATACCGAACGCGCGGGTAGTGTGCGCGCATTGGTTTTTACTCCGGCGCACGCGTGAATAGCCAATTGTGTGCAACAACCAACGACTACTACGCACCGTTATGAATGTACTATATTTTCATTTTGCGTTTGTTGCACATGTGTGTGTGTGTGTGTGTGTGCGATTGTCCAGCCACGACTACCGAAGAAGAATTCGGCAAAGCCAAGCGATCTCTTTTATCTTCGGCGGCGATGCAACACGTTGGGTTTTTCTGCGCCCGAGATGTACCGCATTACGGGCAAATTTGCATGCCGATTTTTTCCCGCCACATTTGAGACTAATTTTTCTTATTTACGCAACAACGCGCGATCTCGCGCGCGCGCGCGACGGTAATAATAACAGGGCCATTGTAAATCGAACACGTTGTAAATCAAGATCCGTAACGATGTATCTTGCGATGCGTTATATTGCACGCCTTAAAACTGCTGTATTTATACGTACATGTGTAATATTCGTTTATTTCGGCGCGTGTACCGAGTGTGCATTTCCAAGCGTTATATCTCATTTAAACTTATACAATACACATATACGCGCCTGCATTTCTCGTTCTCTTTTTTCACAAATTACATTTTGCAGAATTTATGACTTATCTACATGCTATAATACAAACCGAGGCGCAATACGCAAATCGAATGTATATATATCGGCCCGCCGCCACCCATCATTGCGCCGGTCCGAAGCGCTCGGCTCGCACGTACACAAATACGTACACACATATTGGTATTATAAATACATATGCACACGGAGGCGTCCGCGCGTGTTCTACAATATACTTTCTCCCATTATTTTCACTTTCATTTCGTGTGTGCATCGGGCGCCAAATCATATGTGCCCGCACACACGTATACATATGTCTGTCTGTCTGTCTGTCTTTCTGTGTATGCCTGCACTTGCGGAAGCGCTGCCGAACCGACGAAGACGCCCCTTCGCTTTTGGTACACGTTCCGCAAGCTCGCGTGGATTTATCCCTCGTTTTTTTCATATTTTTCTCTGTCTCTCTCTCTCTCTCCGCGCGCGAGAAAGTCAAAAGTCAAAACGCGAATCGATATATATGGCAAATGGAAATTGATCGCCCGAGATCGGGTGTTATATCGCGCGCTCTCGATATACCACGTCGATTAACGACGATCGAGAAAAAGAGAGAAACAAACACAGACGAAAAATTTTTCGAGCTCGTATTTATCGTTTCTCGAATCGTCGCGCTCGACGTTTAATTTGCAGCCATATTTGCCGCGCGCACATGTACACCCGAATCGAACGAAAGTATCATCGCTCGAGCTCGTGTTGTGTACCAATGCACACATATACACGATTATAATGTGTATCAGTGGACTTTCATCGCGTGTATAATATATATATAAATACAGCATATATATTTATAAGAGAACTCCTCGCGACGAGGCACACGCGGGGATGATGTTCGTGATCGATAAAGATATGTACAATTGCCCCCGTATGAAGCAGCGATTTGTACTGCGAGCCTAATGTCTACAATAGGCGATCGCTAAGAACTGTATACGGTCGTTGTCTGCATATGTATACATCGATTTATCTCGTCCCCGCGAGCGCTAGGCTTTACAGTAATGATACGAATGTTATGTACCTCGAGCGATGATCGTGAATTGTCTTCGAATGAAATAAGCTAATCGAAATTTAAATTTTCAACGGATGTCTGGACGTATAAGGTAGTTTAATTGTGTGCTAAATTTTTCAAATGTATCGTTGTGGATACAAATATCATTTTTGAGATGTTATTAATGGTAAATTATATACTTGTATATCATAGTAATGTGTTTAATCTCAAATGAAAATGAGTAATAATAAAATTTCACATTCGCTAGGTTTTTACGAGTTCATTGGCACAGCAACATTTCCCAGAAGTTTATATAGAGTAGTTGAATGAGCAAACGTTTCCATTCAATTCAGCGAGTTAAAAATACCCGATGTAGTTAGCCCATAAACTGTTATAGAGGCAATGCTAATCGCAAAAGTCAATTCTTACGCAACAGTCAAAATCTCAATTACCTATTCCGAAATAATGATTAATTATATGTGCGTAACTTCAAGTGAGAAAAGAAAACCAAGAATAGTTTTGAACACAATTAAAAATTTCGTATAAAATTTGTTGCTAATAACGACGGTTTCTACGCTGGGATTTATCTTATCCGACGGGAAGGCCCAATAACTTGACTCGCAGTCGATATTTCCAACGGATGTTGTGAATTCCCTGCCGAGAGCGTGACGACTAATGAGGCTCTAGATTTCGTTTCGTCCAAATATTTACGTATACACGAAAGCCTATGTAATACTATAAAAGCCCCTGTCCTGAACCATCCGCCAGTCACTCGCTCACCAGACACAGAACTAGCAGGACCATGAAGAGCTTCGCCACATTGTAAGAACAATTTTTCAATTACGAAATTATAAAATTTTAAATCTCGCACGAATTAATTAATACATTTTGTTGAAACAGTATTTTGCTCGCCGCTTGCGTGCTTATCGCCTCAGCTTCACCAACAGGAAAGGCATCCAAGCTTGAAGATGAGAGGGAAGTTCAGATGCTGAAGAAATTTGGCATTTCTGAAGCTCAATTGAAAAAGTGGATGGACAACGTGCTGTCCGATGAAAATAATAAGGACTACCCAATTGCATGGGCGGTACTGCTGATGGGACTTTTGGAATACGACTTGAGCGAAAAGTACGACGAGCAGCCGGAAGAACAGCCTATTCTCTACTTCAATCACCAAAACGATATGTTCGAATACGTATCACCTAAATATATGAGCGAAGAAAGAAAATTAATCAATATGGCTGGTTTGAAGCTCCTCTTCAAAATCTACAGGAGCGATATCATCCATAACATCAAAGACGAAACCTCACAAAAAATTGTATTTTTAGCTCTTAAAGAATATTATTCGCCAAGAATGTTGAATAGCGCGGATTTCTGGGAAATATTGTCTCGTTTACATGCTCATGTTGCTTCATCCAATCCAAAAAGCTTTAAAACCGTATTCCACAAACTTCCAAGTCTCGAGAAAAATTAGTATTGTTAAAAGTATAGTAGTGTAAGATGTTTTTCATAATTTCAATAAAAATATTTTTAAATAATATTCTTTGGTTATTTTCCATATACTCATTTTGTTAAAAATTATGATGAATTTATGGTCTTTAAATAAATCTACTGTTTAATTGATACTTTTGTAAAAAGCTACTCGATATTATAAGCTTTAAATTAAAATTTTCTTATCCAAAACATAATTAAGGTTTTTTTTTCAAAAAAAATACCATTTCTGCACAATTTTTTTAATTATTATGACCATTAAGTTATTTACTACAATAGATACTTATGATCAACAACTAGATAGCAAATTTCAATTAACAATGTTATGTGACTTCGATTCTACTTTCAAATATCAAATAGCTAAATATCAATAGATACAATTTTCAAATAGCTGAAACTTATTTTGTCAAATTGAAGAGTATATGAGTAACACTATCTCTAGTGACTTTTCTCAAAGTTTATGTAATATAAAACCATAAATACCCGAATGCCTACTAATCATGTGGAGGGATTTTCAGAAAACAATTTTTTATCGTATACTAATGTGTAAATTCAAGAATAAAATTCATTTATAATATAACTGTTTTGAGCCTTTCAAAACATAAATAATATCCCTTACAAATGCTAGAAATGTCATTCGAATCAGCTGAGTTATGTATCAGTGCGACGAATTTCAAGATTATTTGAGAATCACTCATATACGGCGCACCTTCTAGAAATTGAAAGATATTTGATCAGAATAATACTATTGTCATTAGTTCCATACGCAGTACCTCGCCTTTTTATTTTATTATAAACAATTTTAAGGTCTCCGCTGAAATCTTCAAAAAAAACTTGTGATTATATAATGTTAAGTCACTTGTATTTACCAAAAAAAGAAATTATCAGATATGATGCATAACGAATCAAATTTATTGAATTTTCTTTTTCAACTATAAATAGCTGCATACATTTTTTGCCGGTGAATCGTTTATTTATAATAAAATTGATGAACGAAACGAGAATAATCTACTTTTTAGATAATAAATAGTATTTTCTGTAATTATGATTCTTGTTTGTAGCAGTAATTTTGGTTAGATAGAGATAAAAATCTTAAATTAAGCTTATCAAAGTGACAACTCTGCAACACTATGACTTGATGGATGAAACTTTTTTTTTTGCTTGATACATTTATCTATTGTTCCGTAAAAAATTCTACTACTCAGATAAACTGGTGTAGTTTTAATACAACGTTTCCGCAGGCATTCCTGTTATACTGACTTTTGGAAATTAATTGAAAGTTGACAAGTTGTACACATTGTGTGAATATTTTATTTGTCGACTAGACTTTGGAAAAGAAGCAACATGAAGTGCTTGGCAATTTGGTAAGTTGATTTTTTAGTCTATATTTGTAACTAATTTCAGTTTAATAAAATATAAAATAAATTCTTTTTGTAATAGCCTTATTTTTGTTGCCTGTGCATTGCCTGCATATGCTTCCACTGCTCGAAAAGAAAAAATCAAAGAATATATCAATCGTTTTGAAAAATTTGCTAAGGATAACAATAATGTTGTCGGTTTAAGTGACAAGAATTTAAAAAAGTGGATAGAAAAGACGATAGCAAAACCAACCAAATATGGGGTTTACCTAACATTTTTTGGACTTTTATTGAATATGCAAGATAATTTAATACCCATTGAAAATGAAATCGATGGTTCTGAACCAATTGAATTTTATGACCACGAGGATGATCAATTTAAACGAGTTTTTCCTCATATGATGAGCGAGTATAAAAAAAAGTCAAACGAGGCTAGCATCAAGCTCCTGTTCACGGTGTACAAAAATGATATATTGCGCAACCTAGATTGGGATCCAATTTTGAAGTCTTACGCTGATTTAATTCTCAAAAATGCATATAAACCCTTAATCATTAGTGAGACCTTATCAATATTATCGTATATAAGAAACCAGCTTATTATTAAAAAGCATAAATATTACAGTCATTCATTTTCTAAAAGACTTCCTTTGTTAAAATTTAATTGATGTAAATCATAATAATATTATGTATTTGAATGTATTTGAATAAAAAAATTTTTAAATCAAATTTTGTACCTATTTTTTTTTTTAAGTCACGCGACATAAAATAGTGACTTGAAAGTAATAAAATTATTTTACTCGATATCTGAGTTTAAAAAGTTATTATTTATTCAAGCAATGTTCAAATTTTACTTTTCCGTGACAAAGTGTGAATGAAAAATTTTTAATTTCAAACTAAATGTATTAAAAAATTATGGAAATAATTTATAATCAACTTTAACTATTTGAAACATTTTTTCCGAGGCCAGCATTTTCAACTTAAATCTTAGACATCCGCCTTTAAAGTATAGGTAATTACTTTACAACTTTCATTGATTAGATTCGCAGATCAATCAAGTTCGGTAAGATCAATTCTACCCCAATTCTGCGACTACATTTTAGAAGTATGCAAACCTTAAATAAATAAGAGAAAACTACAATTTTTTCAAGGTATCTAGGAGATTTTTTGAAATGTGTATATAATATTTAAATTACACATAAATCGAATGAACTCGTCCAAATGAAATTATGCAAATGTAGGTTAAGAAGCTACCCAATCCCTACTCTCCAATTTCCCTTCAGGTAAATAGTGCTCGATTTTATCATTATTGATTAGAAATTGATATTGACAATAGAGATTATCAGTTTTTCGCATCTCAATCACTATCAATTAACCAAAAATGTTTGGTTTTTTTCTACATTATATGAGTATTGTGCTATGAGCAAAAATGTAACTATACCTAGACATAACTGTGTAGAGTACACTTGGAGTACATCTATAGATATTGGCAGTAAGTTTGAAATCTCGCGATAATTATTTACTTTCGTCTCTACAAATCTATACAAATACTTGAAATGAATCATGCTGTATTTTGTAAATTTTCATTTTACTTAACCCGATTAGAAAATTATTCATAAAAAATATTCTCCGCGTTATTAATTGCTAAATTTCAGACATTGCAAACAAAAATTATATTGCTCAGATAAAATTGTAGAGTTCTCTTATTAAAACTCTTTAGTACCAACATGTATGTATTCTCAGGAAGTTATTTTTGATAATTGGTATTATATCGCTAAAAAATTACATACATAATCTAGTATTATCTATTATTTTAATTGATGAAAAGTTAACAAGTAATACAAAGTTGAATGAATATTTCATTCGGCGTTGAGAGTTCAGATAAGAAGCATCATGAAGTGCTTAGCAATTTGGTGAGTACACTAATTTAGTTTCATTTTGTAATATTTTTCTTTTTTATGTGAGAATAAAATTAAATTTTCTGCCCAATAGCCTAATTTTCGGTGCTTGCGTACTTGCGGCCTCTGCCGCACCAAAAAATGATAAATTAAAAACGTTTGAAAAATATGTGCTCGAATACAGCGATAATTTAGAATTGAGCGATGAAGAAACAGCTGCATTCATAAAAAATGCATACAATGCGACCAATTATGTGACTGCAAGCGCATTAGATGACATACTAAAATTATCAGAAGAGTTGGATGAAGAATTTGGAGATGACGATTCTGCTCAACCGATTATCTTTTATAGCTACTCTAATCAAAGATTTGAGAGAGTTGAACCAGGAGTAATGAGTGAATTAAAACAGAAGTTAAATGAGTCAAGCATGAAGCTCCTATACGCAATAACCAAAAAAAATGTGCTCCATCTAATAAAAGATCCAATAATGAAGGCCTACTCTGAAGCAATATTCGATTCCATTATGGAGCTACCTAGAATGATGAAATCCGGAAAATTTTGGTACTATTTTTTTACATTGGAAGCGGATCTTATAAAGTTGGATGGAACAGGTAATATTAACCCATTTGCCGAGCAAGTTGAAATGTATAATTTGGATGATGAATAAAACATGATAATGTGAATGAATATACTGTTGTACAAATTTATTTTAATTCCTTGTATATTAAAAATGGCACCGTGCCACTAAGTAGGCATTTGCAAAAATAATTAAACCTAAATAAAAATAATTTTACAAAAAAAAAAAAAAATTACTATCTTCACGCTCGACAATCGCAATGAAACTCACAAATAACATTATATCGTTTTTGTGCTTATCTCTCTTCACCCGAGAAATATTTTTGTACACGCTCTAACCGTGAATTCGTCGCTTCGCAGGGTAACGAGTACACCGTACCAAAGGGCTGGCCGCTAACCCTTGGCAAGCACGGCGTGGTACTGAGGCTCGGTGAATTGGAAGCATCTTCATTGCGTCTCGGGGAATGCTACCTCTGCGTGCGCAGCCCAGCTGCTGCCTCGAGCGAGCGCAAAGTCAAAGCCGCGGACTCAGCGGCAGAAGCGGCGAATACTGCAACGACTGCAATCAGCAGCAGCAGCAGTACTGCTGCCCTTACGAGCAACAAAGCAGCTACTGACCGCTCGGTCGCCGCCACTGCTGTTGACCCGAGCAATACCGTCGAGGTGAGTCACCTACACATAAACATACTGCTGCACACGCTCATTTCTCATTGTCCGTTTACTGCACGTTTACCTTTCGTAGCTTTTGACTTTTAAACTCGTTTCTCGCTTCGGCTTTCGCGTAAGTGATTTCAATTAGATTATTGACTCAACTCGCGCGTTTCGCAGCCAATGTTTTCTTATGTATTACAACAACCTATACAAACGCTTTCTTATGCAAGGATCGGATCATAACGCAACGAGTTCGCGCAGTGTACAATTTTTCAAGCGGTGCAGAGGAACGAGACGCGTCGCGCTTTCGAACGTCATGAATAAAATTATCGAGATTGAATTTTCGTCGCTCATTTTTATCGGCCGGCAGCAGCCGTGAGCGCTGAAATGAACGATCGCAGACGAGAAGCGGGGAGCATCCGAAAGGAAACAAATGTCGAGTACTTAATAAAACAAATTATCCCGCGCGGAATCGAAAACTGGGTTGAGCCTTATTAACGATATATGCAAAAAGTGTACACACGCAGCGGATAATGTTAATATATTAATCTCACACTCGCGCTGCTTTCGGCGACTCGCTTGACCCCGCACTGCAGCGCACGTGTGCGCAAGAGCCATTTTCAATTTCGAACAATCACACACGTACATTCGAAGGCGCGTTAGGACGAATTCCGAGAAAAATCCTTCGCCCGGTCTCGAGTTATAATTTAGCGTCCGATTGATGAATGTTCGGCATTTTCTTGGTACAATTATATCGGGGCCGCTGCAAAGAATGGACGCTTTTTAACCCCTCTGGCTATTGTGCTAATACACGCGTGCGCGCGCGTACCTATGCATTTTACTTATTGCGCGCACGTGCTGGCTGGAGCTGGTCGAAGAATTTAGTACACGTGTGTATATGTGCGTTTTCGATATCTTAATTTAGTCGAGAAAGTATATCTAATATATTTTCAGCACTCTTACGCGCGCTGCTATTTCTCGGCTGATTTATACGTATCCTAGCTATTTTCTCATTGAGCTTTTATCACCTTGGAAATTTGTGCACTCCAACACTTGTAATTTATATCACGCCCAGCCGAGAATTAACGCACTCTATCAAAACTCGACTACCTGAAGGCGCTTTCCACAGCTCGTTATCAACGATTGTCAAATTCACTCTTTGCAGATAGCCCTGGTGTGGCGAGCCGCAGCTTCGTCGATGCGCGCCCCGGGGATGCTCGGAGGCTGGGAGGACGAGTACGCGGAGTGGCGCGAATCGTCGTCGAGCGCCGCGGCACCGGCCAAACTGCCGCCACCTCCGCCCCTCGTCGTGAACGAGCAGACGAGCCGCTGCTGGCAGGCCGAGCATCATAATCGCTGGTCGTCGTCGTCGGCCGCCTCGACCGCGACCTCGGCCAATTCGATAGGTAGCGGTAGTAGTAGTCACCATCACCAGCAGCAGCAACAACAACAACAACAACGACACTATCGCAGCCGTCACGAGAGCCGCTCGACCGAGCGCCACTGCAATTACTCTTCGTACGCGCCGCGCACCTCGGACGTCGTGCTGTCGTCGTCGAGCAGCGTTGACGCCTGGGCCGAGGAGGCCAGAGCCGCCAGACAGAGACGCTCGACGAGCTCGAGCAGATGCGGCAACGATGCCAGAGACACGGCCGATCTGTTCTCCTACAGCACGAACTGTGAGTACCTATATAAATCGTTAGAGAATGCAACTGTAAGTGCGCAATTGCTCGAGATGCTAATTTGTATTTGTTTGACAGCGTTCGACAAGAAGAACAAGCTGAAGCGAGGAACTCGAGTCGTGTCACCCGCGGCCATGGAAAAGTGGAAAGAGACGTCTCGCTGCGAGACGCGCAGTCGCGTGCTGGCGCCGCAGGACTTGGCGACGCCCGGCTCGCTCGAGTCCGCGGCCGCCACTACGTCCTCCTCACCGGAGCGGCAGCAGCAGCCCGTGAGCAGCTTCCAGGATCGCCAGCTCAACGGCGATCACGCCAACAACCTCAGCAACATCTGTCCGCCGGACGAGGTGGCGGATCGCGAGCTGCCCTCCTACATCGGCAAGCTGCTGGTGCAGGTCGAGCGCAAGATCGAGCGCGTCTCCGTGGACGATCTGACCTTTCCGTGTCTGGCCTGTCGCAACATCGACACCGACGACCCGCTGCTGGGCTGCAAGTGCGCCGGCTGCGAGTGCGACCAGGACGCGGAGGCCGCCTGCGAGTGCAGCCACAACGGTAACGGCATCGACGGGGCCGCGAACAAAGAGGAGCCCAGATCGAGTTTCGAGGTGGCTGGCATCAAGCACATAGACAGCGACGACGAGGAGGAGGTTCGCATGGGATTCGGTAAGTTTTCCAATATGTCTATGGAAATAGTAAGAGCAAGTGTATTTTAGTTTTCACTCGAGATAATTCAATCGTCGAAACGGGTCACTCGAATAATCCTGAAATGCTCAATCTTTGCTAAGGCGGAGCAGTTCAACGTTGGCGTTCAACGCGCTCGTATTCTATTTAAAGACTCTCGAGCTCTCGCTCGAGTCGCGCATTTAAAAGCTCTCGCAGCAATGCTGCACAATAATCGCCAGCATTTGCAACGTTTATTTCAATTTACACTCTTATGCGTGTGCGCTGCATTATATATACATTCGTCGTCGTCGTCGTCGTCGTTGCTGCGCTGCTGCAGTCGACTCGCGCGTTGCTTTACGACTTTTCGCATAAGCCGATGACATGATTGCCCTATACGTATATAGCATTGCTGCACGCGTTATGCTAATTAGTGGCGCGCGCGCGCGATTCAATTTACCGCCACTACACGCACACGAGGCGGCACAGCTGTTAAACGCTGCTCGCCGCGCGCGTAGCGCTTTAAAGCAAGAAGCCATTGCGCGAAATTGTTGTTTGTATATTTAATGGCGTTTGTTGCGAGCGAAACGCCGCGCCTGTATATGACAACGATGACATCGTTTGTTCGGGCATGACGAGACGTACACACACGTGCGTGTGTGTGAATATATTGCTCGTTACGGCATAAACAGGCGTGTACTCATTTTTGTCTCGTGCTCAGCGGCGATACATCTTCCTTCCTTACGTATGCGAACTTGAAAGAAAATTCGTTCGAATGAATTAATTCGCGCGGTAATCGTGCAACGACTAATTCATCGGTCAACCATGCACGTTACGACTGTGTGTACCTTCCGTCGCGGACTAAATAGCAAGGCAAACAAACACACGTGCGCTGTGTATAGCATTAATCCACGGAACGGCGCACGGGTTTGACATGGCCCGGCGGTGATGTACACAGAAGCAATTATCTAAATACCAGGACTGGTTCTCGAGAGAGAGAGAGAGACTTTGTATGAGAAATTTCAAAAGCTCGCGAATCCCCAATCGCAATCGTACATACGCGCATTGTGAGCGCGCACACGGACACACATGTAAGTATGTGTTATACAGTAGAAGGAGGCAAAAGTCGGCCGTTGACTTTGTTTCATTTGCGGCGGCGGCGGCGGCTTCTTCACGCGTGATTTATACCGTATAGAAGAGCCGGGCTGTCACGTTCGGAAGACGCGCGCGCTCGACTCCAACGTCTTCTTCTTTTTTTATCTCGTCTTTTTTTTGTTGATAATTCAACTCGCTAAATTTAACGTGGCGTAATTATTTGTAACGACACGCGATTGCGTTTATGTATACACGTTCGATCGCGAGACTTTTTTTACCAGCTATAGCTAGACGCGCGAGCGTGCGCTTCGACAAAAGCGCTCGGCTCGGTACTTTCTGCGAAAAAAAAACCGGATGTAAAATGCGCAATTTTCCAGGCCGAGAGCGCGCGCGCGCGCAATCTGCAGTATACTGGAAGCGGCTCGGCTGCGGCCTCCCACGCACTGTGCGCGGTGCACGAGTCGCTAATCAAATCAGCTCGCGCTCGCAAGTCTATGTGTGTGTGTGTGTGTGTGTGAAAAATAAGTACGTATAGGCGTGCAGCGAACCTAAGAGAGAGAACCGAGCGACTGCAGCGAGCAACGGCAACAACAACAACAGCATAGACGACGACGACGGCGCCACTTGTCAGTTGGACAGAGAGAGAAACTTAATGCGCGAATAAATTGCCGCGGTTCAACCCGGAGCATATAGCGTAGCCTGGGTACGTACACACGAGTGGAGGCTTACGTGTACACACACACACACACACACACGCGAGCTGTGTGCACTAAGTGCGAACGAGTTATGTGGCGCCGGAGCTTAGATTACCCCGCGAGAACTCGCGCAATCGTACGTATAACGCCAAGCACCTCATCTCTCTGCTCTGGGATGACGAGACTTTTATTGCGATACTTATCGGATTGAAATGAAAGTAATCATCCTCTCGCACGTGGAGCGCCCGTGAGTGCATTATTGTTGCTGCTCTTGAAAAATAAGATAAATTATGATTTCTGCGAGAGAGAGAGAGAAAGGTATACGCGCAAGTAACGTATACGTGCGAATTATCACGAATACAAGTGTGCTTGCGAGCATTTTAAAACGAAGCGCCGTGAACTCGATGCTATTCAAATCAAATTGAACCGAGATATATTCAATAATGTCTTAATGTAGGAGAAAAATGACTCGAAACTGGGCAAAGCGAACAGCATATAGCGAGACCCTCGAGTCTCGTGCAATTTTGCGCGTTATCGAAATCGCGCTTGAAGTTGAGAGCAAAGTACAACGCGATTGTATTCGCTTGTTTTGCAGCGTATATAAACGCACACACGCGCCGTGTACGTACGTATACAGAGAACGAGAGGACGAGATAGCGCGAAAAGCTTATGTAGATATACACGCACGTAACACAGCATAGAGCGATTGCTCTTGTATATCATATATGCTCTTATAATTGCGCAAGATGTCTTTGTTTAACTATTGTGTAGATATACGAGCTCGCAACTTGTGTCGTATTATATGTATAATGGTGAAATGCAGATCACTGGATTTTTCATGAAGTGCAGTCGTGTATCGGCTCGTTTCAATTTGACGTTTTGCGTGCTCATCTATTGAACATACTTTTGTTAAATCTATTACAAATTATCGATTAATCACTCATCGATTTTCAACTCGTTTTATTTCCTTTCAATTCGAATTCTGAACAATCATTCCTTTTAAACGCGTGAAAGATTCGAATAATTTATACGAATATAAATCCATTATACGTTTCGTGTCATAATTGATAATTTCGTTTCATTGTCAACATCATTTTTTATCGTCAAAGCTGCTGGATATAATACGCACACATCACGAGTCGTAATCCCACAATTTATGACAGTTCGCAAACTAGAATATAACTTCATTTCGCTCAATTGGTCGTCGTCGTATACACGCACACGCACACAAACGCCTTCATTCGATTAAATTTCACTTGCTCGATCTGATTACGTTTCATTTTCTTTGTGCGTATAAGCACTGCATGTGTGCCCCCTATTGTCTTTTCCTCGCTTCTATTGTCTTCGTCGTCGTCGTCGTAGTCGTTCACTTTCGTCCTATTCGCTTCTTATAGCTTATAATACTATTTATCGACAATCGCGCATTACATGCCCTCCTCTATTTGAACGCCGCAAAAAAAGGATAAAGGCCAAAGCAGCATAAGCCTCGTATTTGTATGGTAACCCAAAAATGAGTTACGCTCAATTTTACGCTCGACGATCGCCAGAGCAGCGGCGGACACAGAGCATTCGAATCGGTTGTCTTCGGCAAGGAATATTAATGCATCCGTAAAGCTGTCGTCAATATATTATGAAAGCCATTAAGCAAGTTTAATTAATGTTGAACAAAAGATAAACCGAATGAGCTACTACCGTGAAATACTTCCGGCGATTAGACGTTGTGCGAGCATAAATTCAACGCCGCCGCGAACCCAAGCCAATAGTAGGGGGAAAGAGAAAGAGAGAGAAGAGAAAAAATATATATAACGATATATAGAACGATGCAAGACAGCTTGCACACACACACACACACACACACACACACACACACACACACACACACACACACGCAACCGCGCGTTCGCCCTCGAACTTCGTATGGCGTACATACGACGACGTAAGAAACTTTTTTGCGCCTGAAACGAGCTTGACAATTTATGGTCTTTTCGCTTGTGTGTGTGTATGCTTCGCAGCAGTGATACAGATTTTTTTTGTTGCCCGTGACGACGACTTTTCCAACCAAACGAACAAAACCAGAATTATATGTGTGCGCGGCTCGATTGTAACGTTAATATTTTTCGTTGCCGCTCGCAGCGAATGATTGAGACGTTTTGGCATTTCGTGTTTGTGTGTGTGTGTAGGGCCGTGCCGCCGCGTCTTAGGATTTATTATTCGTGGTATGCGCGCACGCGCGCCAACATTCGAATCCGAACGCGGGAAAGTTACATCTTGCCGCGCGTGCACCAATATTATAGTCACGATCACGTTTGGATCGGAATGTGTTACCGATCAAATCTTTTATAAGCACATGTGTGCACAAAACACACACACACACACATGCGCGCGAACGTGATTTTCCTTTCGCAGTACAATTACAGGAGAGCTGCGCTGCCGATAAGCAATCAAATTAAAAGCTAGAAAAGAAAATTTTGTGAAACTATATACATACGCAGAGCTCCGTAAGAGCTCCCTTCACCCACTAGACCGCAAACACAATAGTATGTAAATGCGAACTCAATCCTGTGCACATAGAAGGTGAACGTTAACGTCATGAATCGGTAAAAAAAAGTCCATAATCTACCATCAGAAAACACAAAATTTACCTCGAAACATCCAAGCTAATTAAACAAAAAATTTTTTTCCTCTCCGCGCGGTCGAGAGCGGAAGAGAGTATATATATAAGAGAATCATCAGCATCGCGCTGTGTTTTTACCTTCGGCTCACAATTAAAATAATGTAGGACTTGTCGAGAGCCGTGGCAGTGTCGTAATGGCCATGACCTCTATTGTTGTTGTTGTTGTTGTTGCTGTTGTTCGTTGTCACTATATGCTTGAGTCTGTGTGTTTGTGCAGCATCGAAGCTGCCTAAGCGAGTTTATAATATGATCAATACTCGCGCGAATCGAGAGGCGCGCACAATAGAAAGGGACGATCCCGCGCGCCAATACATACATGCGCCAGGAGGTCTTTTGACTTTCGATAGAAAATGGCGAGTGAGCACGTAAGAAAGTTATTTACCAGGAGAGGTGCCCGAGTGACCTAGCCCATTTTCCCACGTGTTAATGCGCGGCGGCCTGTGTTTATATCAATGCTTAGTCAAGCGAATCCAGGCGTATACAGGGACATGAGATAGCGCTGGAGCTAATTAGTTTGCTTTTGGCGAGTTTTTTGTAAC